GGGGCATATGCACCTTAGACCTCAAAGTGACATCTTTGCTTTTTAACACTTTCAAGAAGTATTTTGTAGCAGATTACCCAAGGCAATATGTCATTTGATTTCTTGACTGATGGAACCATGGGCATTGATGATGGATCCAAGTAAGATGAAATCTTTGACCACTTCAATCTTTTCTCCATTTGCCATGATGTGGCTTATTGGTCCAGTTATGAAGACTTTTGGTTTCTTTATGTTGAGATGTAATCCATACTGCTGACTGTAGTCTTTGAACTTCTGTCCCTGGACTGAGATAGAACTGGGTTGAGAGCTGCACTCTTTCACCATCACCCCCCAGCCTTACGTCTGCATGAGTCTCTTACTCTGAGATAAAATCCTGAGACCCATTTTTTGGAGGTATCTACAGCTTTGGCAAGACTCAGTTTATTTTAGTTTTTAGCCTTCATGATGCTACTCCTACAAACCTTGCCTTGGGACACTCCATGCATTTAGTCAACCAATATCTATTGAGCACTGACTATTTGCCAAGTCCATGGGTAGTGCAACAGGTTGATTTTTAACTGAAAGGCTGGTGTTTTGTGTCCACTCAGAGGTGCCTCGGCAGAAAGGCCTGGCAATTGACTTCTAAAGGATCAGCTACTGAAAAGCCTATGGGTCACAGTTCCACTCTGACACACATAGGGTTGCCATGAGTCGGAATCAACTCAACAGTAACTGGTACTATTTACCAAACCCTGGGCAAGTACAAGGAATGAAACAGTGAAGAGTTAGGCAAGGTCCTTGTCCTGATAGAGCTTCTATTCTACTGGGAGAGACAATCAACCAGTAGCTGAATAAGTATTAAGTGCCCTGAAGACACTAAAACAGGACAACAGGTGGCAGAGAGGATGCTGAGACTCCAATAGATAAGTACTTAGAAAAGATGATGAGAGAAACTCTCTGTGAAGAGGAGACATTTGAGCTGAGCCCTAAATGAAGAGAAGCCAGCCATGCAAAGACCTGGAGGAAGAACAGTCCTGGCACAGAGAACAGCAAAAACAGAGGTCTCGAGGCGGGAAGCAGCCCAGCATGTGAGAGGAATGGGAAAAAGGGCCACATGGTTGGACTTGAGGGCACATGGCTCAGATGAGGTTAAAGGTCAGCAGGAGCTGGCTCCCACTGGACTTTTAGGCCAGACTGAAGGTTACATCTGTTATTCTAAGTGCAAATGGAGGGCTCCGGGAGAGGAGAGCTCCACTGTGATTTCATCTGAGCTCGAGATCCCTCTCAACCTCAACGTGGCTCACAGGCCCTCTGTGGTGTCACAGGCTTCTTGTGGATGCCCCTACTTCCTTCCTCTCCAAATCATCTGCATTTGCACAATCTGAGTTGTGTGCTGAGAGCTTCCCCTGCCAGTCAGCAGCCAGGCTAATGGTTTACTCCAGGTCAGTTGCCATGAACCGGTCAACCCACTACCACCACCACCCCGGGACCTCAGTCTCTGCATCTGTGAAGTGGGCAGATGGGACCCCTTGATGCCTAGAGCTTCACCAGGTCTATCATCCCAACAGTGGATTTAGCTTGGAAGAGGGTGCAGCACAATTGAAATCGGGAGAGAAATGAAAGTGAAAGTTGGAAACTCTTCTTTTGGCTTGGGGAAGGCCACCAGAGATGGGGATGGATGTGATAGGCAGGAGGAGGGAGGGGTTTAGAAAGCTGACTCTGCAGTGGCCCTCTGACCCAGGCTTTCATTTCTCCTAAAACACCCCACAGCATCATGTGACACTGACCCGCCACACGATCAGAGAAAGGGGAAGCCAGGGGAGCCCACAATTTCTCAAGAAGCAGAGCGAGAGGGCCAGAGGCTGAGTGGGGAGGAGAGGCCTAGGGGACCAGGCCAGGAGGGAGTGGAGGAGTAGGGAGGAGGTGGGGGAGTAGGGAGGAGGTGGAGGAGACGGTGAGGGGCTGGCAGAGAGAGCCCCTGCGGGAGGGTGACCCTGAAAGTGCAGGCCAAGTACCACAAAGACAGACAGTTAAGGAAGGGTGGCCAGCAGGACCCGCAGCAAAGAGGAGGAGGAGGGGCAGAAAAGGGGAGAGAGGAAGGGTCGGTGCTGCGAAAGGGGAAAGGGGGGAGAAAGACAGGGGTGAGGAGGTGAGCGGGAGAAGGGGTGAGCCAGTGAGGGCAACAGGAGGAAGACTTAGGAGTGGAAGAAGGGCTGGCGGAAGGAGGAGAAAAGAGAGTTGAGAATTGGGGCAGGGGAGAGTAGAATCTGGGTAGTGAGCCGAGGGACTCCAGAGGGGGCGACAGAAAAGGTAAAGGGAGAAGAGGGGTAAAGGTGGAGACACGGTTGGGCAGCTAGAGCCGAGCGAGGAGGGCGACCAGATTGGGGCCGGGAGAGGAGGAGGAGGCCGCGGGCCGGGCCAGAGGGCTCGGAGGTGGGGTAGCGGAGCGGCC